TCCCTGCAACATTTGCCTACTTTGAAAAGTGTGTGGAGATTCTGTGGCAAGGCTTTGAGACAACAGAACAGAAACAACAGAAATGGGCTTTTTGAACCACATGAACAAGCTGCCAGTTCTGGTGTGTGAATGCACAGACAAGGCAATTCCTAGAGTTCCTCTGAAGGGGGTTGAGAAGGCGACTTAGAAAACACAAAAGGATCAGATTGTTGAAGAGGCAACAAAGAAGTCTGAGGAGATCTGGGGCAACACAGGGCATACTCCTCTCTTGAGAGCCGTTAACAGAAATGTGAGCTTTGCACAGGGCACCCTGTTTTATGACAAAGCAGCTTAAAAATGAGGCAAAATAGGCAGTGAGCATGCCTCTATGGACATATTAGAGTAAGCATTATCTGGATTCAAGCGACAGGAAATACATGTGTCCAGGGTCTGAGCGTACCTGTAGATTACCATGCAAGTATAGGAAAAAAAATATTTTTAAGAGAAGCAAAGCTCATCCATTACAAGGGATAGATGTTTTTTTCCCTCCAGGATTATGCAGGCATTTCCATATATTCAGAAGTAAGAAATGAGGCGAATCAATAGGTCATACATTTCTGTAACCTGGATGCCAATATCAATGATCCTCCTCCTTCAGTTGGAGGCTGTAGTTATGGCCTGCAGTAGTCACAGCCGTCAGATGTGCTGGAGTTCCTGATCCTCTGAGAATGTTCAAATCTAGTTCCCGAGTAATAAGCTGCACTGAATCTACAGAGGATCACAAGCTTACTCTTCAGATGTTGTCTAGAGGGCAAAACCCCAATTTTTGAGTGATGCAGTGAGATATAATCCTTGTGGACCCTGTAAAGTGAGCTCAACCATTTTTATCTGAATCCTAGAGTCTTTGATGAATGATCCATGTGTGTTTGCCCTCCTGATGTAATGCTCTGAGTGCTGTACAATTCTGAATATATCTCTATGAAATGAGAGATCAGCCCAGGACAGTACTCACCATTAGAAAAGCAGCATGTATTCTCAGTCTATCTGAAAGTCTCCTTTCTACACATATTTTTTCTTTACATTCAATAGAAAATTGTCTGTAATAACAGTACCTTTCTGAAAGCTCTGTTTGCCTTTTTTCTTCTCTTTGGTGTTTTTCGTTTGATATATGTGAGCTGATACCATTTAAATCGCAAAGAGAACAGCAAGTTTTAAGTTATCCAAAAGCATCCTGTAAAAGATTCCATCAGAAGAGTTATCCTTGTATTTATAGCACAACTGGGATAAAATAAGAATTTAAAATAATTTGGGAGGTTGAGAACAACGCATAATACAAACGTCTTAAGGCAAAGATGATCGAAGTAACACATTTCCTTTCCATATACAGTTAAGGGCATTATTCAGAAGGCTATCCTTAGGCACTGGAAACTAGCCTTCCCAGGCTCCTTCTGTAGCCTACAAAGAAAGTAGGAACTTAACTTAAACACTGTATCATTACCTGGAAAATCTCCATTGACTCTAGAAGGAGCCTAAGATCACAAGCCTCCCCTGCCTATGGTTGCCTTTCTGAATACCCTGCGTAATCAGCACTTAAATTATATGGTGGATGCCTGGAAGAAAGTTGGCTCACCCGTTGTTGACCTGTCAAATTCAGCTGCATTGGTGGAAGAGGGAGCTAAGATCACAGCCATTGCACAACTAGACCTGTCAGAAATCATGAACGAAAGCCCTTGTTTACCTTAACTTGCTGCCTGGCATATGAATATAAAATGAAATCACTAGCGGTCTAAGTTTATGCTCCTGGATGTGAACCTTAGCAGCCCAGGAGCAGACCCACTGTTTGTTCAGCCTCTTCTGTTATCCTGAGGGTAACTTCCAGCGAAGAGGTCGAGTTAGTAGTTCCCTGGGCCTGTTAAATTACCCTCTTAAATCATTCCCATATAAATTAGCAGAGCTCATGAATCAGAGCCCTTGTCATCACTGTGTCACTGCTTCACTGAGCTGTTCAGCCTTTCAGGATTTCACCCATGTTCATAAAGCTTTTTTTTGGATGCACAGAAGGCTCCTGTCCTTGTGCTGGGGACGCATGGCATTCTCTGCACTCCGCTTATCCCGAGCGCCCGTTCGATTTAGAATGACACTAAAAAAATGCCTGTGGTAAAAAACATGTGTAACTTAACATACAACTGCCTCAATGTCTTCCTTCTGAGGGAAGAAAAAAAAAACAAAAAGAAAAAGAAATAAAAGCCTTCATTTCTTTTGAGAAATCTAATCCACACCATATACACTGCAGCGGAGAAAGTGTCAGGGGGGTGAGAGGGAGGGGAAAGAGTCTCCATTTTCTAGTATTTGTGAAGCCCTGCTCAGCTAAAATAAGTGTAGCCTTCACACAGAAAATGGCTGTGAACACTACAGAGCAACATCTGCTTTGTGAATGTAATCCATAAAAGGCTTCCAAATGCCCTTAAAAATTGTTCCCTCTTTCCCCCAGTCTGAATGTCATCTCACAGGAAGCCATCTGGGACAAGCATGCCAGCTATTCTGCTGCAGCGATAGCAGTATTGTCCTCAAGTGCCTCAGGATGAGTCACATCAATGCAAAAGTCCAATTATAGTAGAAGCCCCCCAAAGCAGAAGTATCATTTCAAATAAATAAGACTGATGTAGCTGAACCACTGGAATTCAGAATGTAATTCAGTCACTTCATCACCTTTTACTCAAAAACCCTGCATCCCTTAAAGCACCCGTGCTAAATCCCCAATCTGGTTATGACATTCCCAGCACAGATGTGATAGTCTTAAGCCCAGTGTGTATGCATTTAGAGGAGTCAATTACTTTTTTTTTTCCTTATTATTTTAAAATACAGCCTTTTTAAACCTGGCGTTTCTTACCACTTTAGAGCAGCGAATGAACAGTGCCATCCACTGTTTCTCTGCATAATCCACAACACTTTCCTAAGATAGTCTTAGGTAAGATTTAACATAAAAATTAATGCCACATTTGAAACAAAGAAACATAGATTGCTAAAAAGATGCAAGTCAAATGACAATTTTAAGGAGCCAAGCTGAATCACAGAATGACAACTCGAAAAGTGGATTACAACAAAGGAGATTTTTCAATATATCTCCTCACATGTGGATGAGCCATTCTAACTTAATTAGCTATATTGTTACTCATTTATCCTAAAATCAGATACTTCTCCAATCAAGTAGGTCATCTATTGCATTGTTGAGTATAAATTCTCTCTTCATCTTTTTATAAGAATTACATTTCTTTTCCAGTGTGGTCATCAACTCTCTCGAACATGACTCTGACGAATGATACTGCTGAGAACAGGTGCCTTTAGAAATGCTTACCACAGAAGAATTAATAATATATTGTGAACGAGACCCTGTTTTCATGGACTGAACATGGCCAATGCAAGACTGTACGTCCCTGAATGTCTTTGACAATGGAATCCAAACCTTATCTTTTAGATGTATATTTTAGATGCTATTCCTATAGAAAGATTCCAAACTCATCCCATCTGTGGTGTTGCACATCTCGCTTTGCTAAACATAGATACCTGCACTTTTCAGCAATGTCACCGTTCAATAATGCGAATATGCAAACGTGCTCAATGTTCACCGTAGCAGAAATCTTAAAAGTTTCATACCCACTTCTTCCTCTGCTTTGCTAGAACACAACCTCAGTGCTCAGTATTTCACTAGACTGATCTCTCAAGGCTTGTCTCGCATCCTTCTAAAACAAAAGCAAAACAGCCATTGACCGCAATGATGAATGAATTAAACCTTAACATTTTGCCTCTCATTGCTTTGCTTTATATAATTTTCTTATAGGGAATGTTTAGAATTTCAAGTAAAGGCCACTTTCCAATTCAAAGTGGCTGTAATTCCTGGCTTTTCTTATAGTACAGATCTCTCATTGACACAAATAATGGTAGAAACATTATTTAGAAAATTGTATAACTGCCGAGTCCCAGGTAATTCAAAGGATAATGTTTGATTCATGATCGATGACCACTGATTATACACGACACAACACAGAGCTATAAAACTGACAGATGATGAAAGCATATAGTATAACACACTGTGCTGGGAACATGACTTTTATGAACCCAATGCATAGCACCCAAAGTTTTCTCTAAGACATTTATAGAAAGGAAAATGCATACAGTAGAATGGGTTTTACTGATCATGCTCATTCATATTTCAGGATCAAAGATTATTTTCCAAAAGTCATTTCCTATTGATGCTGTTGTGTTTGCTCCTCATACACAATGATCAGCAGGACACTGGGTTGTGAGGGTCAGACTGGAACTGATTTCTTTGATTTTCCTATTATGTTTTCAAAGGTAGGAAAGAACTCCACATCTTTCTGAAAGTCACTGGCTGTAAGAAGAGAAAACTAGAGCTCCTGAGAGAGTATATTAGACCCAATTATAACCTGACTGAAATGTTATTGCAATAAAATGCCTAATAAAACACCTCTTCTTTGGACATAGATATTTTGACCCCATGCTCTCCATGCTTGTAGCTCTTCTGACTCCCCACTTTGGGGACCCTGCTTGTATTGAAAATGAGATTTCATGCTGAAAATACTAAATTCCAATTCCTTATTCTTTACAACAATAGTATACTGAGGAAAGACACCATAACATTAGCTCAATTAATTCTGTATTACATCATATTTGGAAATACTAAGTAATGTTTGAAAACATCTTGGATCTCCAGCGCATCAGTCGCTTCTTTGTAGAAAAGGCCTATCTCAACTTTGAAATAATGTCAAAATCACCGGAGTTTCCAACATGGAATTGTTAGGAAAATAAAGAAGGGATTTGCAAGCTGGTCACATGAAGAATGGGGCATCTCTACCACTGACCTTTTATTTTCCATATGCTTAAGGCAAACAAAAATACTTAATGCCTCCAGCTATAGCTGTCATATTAAAAGACAGGAAGAAAGATAAGGTGAGAAAGGAAATTACATTAAATCTGTTATAACTCACACATCATCAACTTACTTCATAAACTGTTGATCTGACAAAGAGGGACAACACAGCTGTAGGACTTTTCTTAGACGACTTCTGTTAATGGTGCCAGTACACTTAGGATCCTAGGATTGCAAAGCCTTTTGAAAATCTTTCCAGTTTTCTGTGATTTCATATGAAAGGATTTTCTCTACCTAAGCTATCGAATGAATTAGTAATGCAGGAAAGAAAAACAAAGTGTCCCTGATGTTAAACTATGATAACATTACCACATGAAAAAATGTACTAAAATGACAAATACAATGTTGGAAGAGCAACACATAACTGAAAATGAACCATGTTGTCATTTACAGTATTACAAACTATACCAAGAAAAGCAATCTTCTTTATTTGGTTCGTTCTATTAAGCTATTCATGAACTATCTAATTTAAAACAAAGTTATGTTCAACTACAACAATTTTAGTGTATTTATTTCAATGCATGGTGCAATATCGGGCCACAAAATTTACCTTTGAAAATGTTTATTCTGAAAACTGACTGCAAGAAAGTGTAAACATCACTTCATAGAACAGCTTCTTTAAGTGACTGAAGAGGCATGTCTACTGGCTGATAATGAGGCAGAGCTTTTACTGTCTGTTTCTCCCCTCAGTCCTGTAAAACAAAATCCACTAGGACTGAACGAATTGCAAGTGGCAGTCAACTTACTCAGGGCATAATTTGAAGACAATGGGCGTGCACAGGGGGAAATAATGACAAAATCTGGCTTGCTGAACCCGCTTTAGGATCTGTCTGGAGCACTGGCGGTTAGAATAAGTGTTTTTCACTTGTAAATTGAGTATATTAAAAAAAGGAGGTTCTGAGAAGAAACAAACACACGATCACGTTTTGAGAGGAAATCTCAGCGTAACTGCAGATCTGACCAAGCACTGTACTATGCAAAACTTCAGGTGAAAGGAAGGAGGTGGAGATGCCCCTTGGGTTGTCTTAGCTGGCTGGGGACCTAGATTGGTTCCAGGTCCTGGTTCTGCCCATTGCTGCTTTTAAGACTCCTCTGATGAAATAATTTTCTAGAGGAATGACAAAAATGAAGAGTTTTCTTGAAAATGTTGTCCTCTTCCATTTGTACAATCTGTAATCTGCTTTTTCTATAGGATGCACCACTCTAATAGAGGTGGCCTCACCACTCAGGACACAAACCAAAAGGATTCCGAGACACTCAGGCTTCCTTGCATCTGATTTTCATCAAGATCTGGGTACAAACCCAGCCAAGGGTCCAGAACAGACCTACTCCTCAGGGCAGAATCACTCTCCAAGCATGAAACCATAGCCTCCAGGGTCATGTGTGGCTACTGTGTCATCGCTGGTGGTATTTCATTCCAAGGTGACAATGGTCTGTGAGATTAAACATTTCCTTTACCTGCCTTCCCTCAAGCTAGCATTTACTTCATGTGAGACGCTTATTTCTAATGACAAAAACGGGTAGTTATCTGTGTACATCTCTAATATGAGCCTAACCAGCTTAATTTGTAAATCCCACTTAGTGTGCACATCAGTTGCGCATGCAGGCACTGTCAGCATTTGCATTTTCCCCAGCATGCTAATTTTCCAACTACTAAAGTTTGCCCCAGAATTTCAGCCAGACCATTATTCTACTCAAAACCAGCTGGAAGGGACTTGAGCTGCTGCATCAAATGTTGCTATTGTTGGAGCCATCAGAGTGGAAAGCAGCCCGTTTCAGCTCCTAACATCAAAGTGTTTCAAAGCAATGCGCACCATTCAGGGCTGTTCAATAGGACCTTCTTTTTGTGCGTCTAGTATCTCTCTTGACACTGCTGCTCTCCTTTGATATCTCTCAAAAACACTATCCAGACTACCCAAGCAAAAGCTAAATATGCAGTTAGTCAGTTGACATACTAACGCAAACCTAAAAGAGATCTTATATTGGAAATTATGAAAATTTATGAACAGTTTCTTAATATTAGGAAGTAAATTTGCGAACTGTGGCTTAGATTATTTCTTAGAATAATTTGGTAAGCAAAAACATATTGACTTATTTTTGTCAGAGAAAATGGACATAATGTACAGAAATATTGACTGTGGATTTCAGGATATAATCTCTCTGTACCTTCGGTGAATGGTTCTAAAGGAAAACATTGTAAGACAACTGCAAGTTCAGAAGGTGTCAAAGCTGTACCCGGGAAAATATGCAATGTCTGTGTAGTACATAGCATATATTTTGAACCAATGTATATTATAAAGAATAATAGATTAAACAAGAAAGAGCAAAATATTAGCAGAACAGTTCTGACAACTGAAAGCTAAGAAGTACTACTGCTGCTCCTCCTCTGCTGTACATACATGCCTGAGCTAGTGATTCCTCTAGAGTTTCAAAAACCTCCAGTAAATATGAGATTGCTTTCCAATTGATGCTTCAGAAAGAAGAGTCTAGATGTGCTGATTATGATTATTTCATTTCTGAAAAGACTGTTAACATACTAACTTAGATAAAAACTGTATGCAGAGCATAACATTTGACCAAAACACAATCCGGTATTTTGCTACAGTGACTATAAAAGAGGTTATGATTAGAGAATTAAAAGTAAACACTCCTGATTCTTTTTCTTCAAACAAGTCTAAAAATTCATGGTAGTCAAGGTATCCAGTCTTTTCTGGATCAATTATCTCAGTTAACTTCTGGAAGTCTTTATCTTGTATTTGAAATACCAACTCACATAAAACATGATGAAGGTAATTTCTTGTGATCTTTATATCTATTTTCTAAGAAAAAAAAAAGTTCGCATAAAAAAGAGCAAACGTTTACTAAAGCAATGTTGATTCCAACATGCAATTCTACACTGCTAGATCATCCTGACCTACAGTAACTGAGAGCTCTGTAGCTGTTTCAACAAGTTATATATACTGAATCTGGTACCTTTACTCCAGCTCCCAGTCAACACACAACTGCCATATTTACTGGATGGAAGACTAAAACTATGGAAATTAAATTACGATGACCTTTCCATTACCTTGGGATAGATTATTTAGTTTGCTGGTAAACTGTGCCACAAGTGAATGGATTTATAAACTTGCTTTGCAGAGACCAGCTCCCATTCAGGTCAGTTTATCAGTTGCACTTAATTTCTTACCTGGTCTGGAATCAACGTTCACACAAAGTTGTGTCTAACTGAATAGCTGTTGGATCTGAGTGAACTCAACTCAGCTGAGTGAAGTTGAGTCTAAGTCACTGTTATCATGTACCCCAACCATTGCCTTAAGTCCATATAAAAGTCCATCAAGTGATAGCTATTATTAGATCCTAAAATAACTCGCAGCATATTCATAGACAGCACACGAGCCCACATTTGTCAGTGCTCACTCATCTGTGGTAGGATTTTCTTCATGATTAGCTTCAGAACAACAAGCAAAAACTCAACTAAACATTTTACCTTTGAGCACAGGTTTTTCCTAGGGTTGCAGTTTTCAGATGTGGTTCATGGCCATGATGGTCCATAAGGCCAGAGTAAACGCTGAGCAAACACTTGGGTCGTTATAGAGATTTCAGTTAAAGATGCAATTATAAGTACATGGTGAGCACTGAGAAATTCCGACTGTTGAAAGTGGTGCATTAATCTGAAACATTTGAAACCTACTGTCCTTGGACTTCCTCTTTCTTTTCTCATGCTTCCTTTGCATCTTAGTATGCATCCTTTACATCGGCTATACTGCTACTGGCATTCTTGACCTGGCTAATGAGGGTGAATCAGCTCTCAGGGACAATCTTTAACCGGGGCCTGATGTACAGTCACATTGTCATGCCAATGGGTACTCATTTGGATTGTAAGGTAATAGGCAATGGATGTGTTCATGCAATAGAATCAGGATATTTTTATTTTGCTACACTTAAGGCATAGTTTTTCTCCCTGTTCCCGAGTGATGGCAAGTAATATCTATGATTTATGTAGAAGAGTTTTAAAAAAGGGTTTATACCAACTCTTTTCTATGACTGTCTGTTGTATTTTATAATTTTACATTTGTTCCTGAACCTTTACTTTTTTTTTTTTTTAATTGTTTATTTTCTCTAAAGAAACCTGAGAAAAGATAATGGGGGGAAAGAAGAAGAAAGAGTGGGATAAAGGCTTTGGAACAATAACAGAAAAATTAGGAGTAAATAGTTCTTTCAGTGATTCAGTTTTCCTAGCTAAGCACTAGACAAATATCTTTCTGTTCATAAAATTCACCCTAAGAAAATTCTGTCTCCCTTTAGTCCCCCACAGAGATCCAGGGTGGCAGTAATAAAATAGAGGATGAGCAATTATTTACTTCATCAGTTGGTCTGGGAAATACTTTAAAGTTTTGCAATCAAAAGATAATGGTCTTCTGAAACTACTATCTGGTATTTGAATTTTCTTTAGAGACTGTTGTCACTGCATTAAATCATATGGAAGCAAAACCTGATAATATACCTACCTCCCTCAGTAAATAAGTTGGGGAATCTGGTACTGAAGCTACAAAGATAGCTGGTTCTTCACAAGAAACAATTGTGCAGAAGACTAGGTCTTACACACGAAGATGAAATATCTGTTACGATAAAAATAAATTACTTTTTTTTTCAAACCTTAGATAATATGGAAAACTTAAGATATACTACATCGGGATTTATTAAGCAGATTGCATTTGCTTATTTGGCCACCTTGCAAGTTTGATTTTATTTATTCAAAAAGATTTAATTTTCTCGCCCAGATTATTATCTAAGTCAGTCCAGAATCAGTGATATGACTGGGGATGTACTGGTCTTTTCCAACAAAAAAACCCGTGATGTTATGTATAAATATAAACCATTGTTACTTGTATTTCTTTCACTGTGGAAACCTCTAGATGCTGGGGATTAGATAGTTCCCTCTTCAGACTGTCTTTCCACCATCTCGAATACCTCTGCCTTTGTTAACAATTTCATTCAGTAATGCTCCAGTTCAGTAAATGAATTAAAATCATGTAGTAAAGCGCCTTACTGAATCACAGCCTGAATGCTGTAGGCGTTATTATTATCTACTGCAATGTATGAAACTGATTTCTTTTCCTATAAATTGCTAGGTGAATTCTTTCTTTTTGTGGTCATATATATATGTATATAGATGAAATACTGCAGAGCTAAAAAGAACAGTTTTTATGTAATTATATTAGAAAGGAATTCTGATATATCATCTATATAAAAACGTCTAATAAAAAATGACAATACTACTTCTGAAGATATGCCCAGTGCTCCTCTGGTGTGTCAGCCAGACTGAGAGCTTTAATTTTTTCAGTCTATTATTTGCTCATTCAATTCAGTAATACAGAGCCTACAATTTAAGAAGCGCAATATGTAGCAAATCAAAGTAATGAAAAAAACCAGCTTGTCCACTGCAGGGTTGATCACACGATCCCGTGCATGGGACATAAATACCATGACATTTCATCAAAACTGACAGAAAGGCATTTTAGCATAGTTCTGTAAATCGTGAGGGCCACAGAGCTGGTAAGGATAAATAGTTCTTTATCGAACACTCATATTCCAGAACTAAACAAGAAAAGGTAATCCAAAGTCTAGAATAAGTCAGGTGAAGTTACTTTTGAAAGTGGAGTGAACTATGCAACAGTAGGCTCAGCACTGTCAGTGTCAGACATAAGTTACAGCTTACCTGTCAGATGACAAACTGCAGACATAAACCTTTTACAAATACATGATAGCACTCTGTTTATATTGTATAATATGAGCTTATAATAATTACTGCACCGTTCTGATTCTCATTAACTTTACCTATCATACTGCTTTTATCCCTTCATCAAAAGAGATTTGCCTTGTCTGTCATTTCTCCTGCATGCACAGGGACCATGGGGATGTATATTCATTGTTAGGCAGTGTATTTGGACGTACACACTTATGACACCTTCCTTCTTTTCCAAAATGCTGTATCTCAGACTAAGGTGTAGCCTTATCTTGCACATATTAATGCCTATCTTTAATTTAAATGTCAATCGCAACCAATTGGTCTCCTTTAGCATGTAGCATTAAATAGGTATTCATGTTCTGTAGCATTTTTATAACATTTTATATCTTCTGTTCAATGTTAAAACCATTAACCATATTCCTTTAAACCTTTTACAACACTGGGAACACTCCGAAGTTTATTGGATGTCAGGTTTCAGCATAGGACAGAAAACATTTTAGTTTCTCTTATAAATCTGATGCAGTTAAGTAAGAACTTGAGATAGGAGACTTTCCAATAGTACTTGAATTCCTTTTCCTGAGATGAAGAATCTCTTTTTTAAAGAGACTAAAATAAAAACAATGAAATACTGCAGGTGAAAAATTACAACTTGGTACTGCGATTGTAAATTTCTAAGTTTGCAGGAGATGCAACAGTATGACTCTGAAAGAACTATGATGTCACATCTTCAAATGACACAAATGCCAATGCTTTAGGTGACTGGGACACCACATGTGGTCAAGAACAAGAACTATCAAACAATGCACTCCACATAATGAAACGTATAAAAATAAGAATATATAGCAATAATTTTTTAATTAAAAAAAAGCTCAACTACCTTATACTGAATATTGCCCACTTAAATTATTTTTAATGCCTTTTTGTTTCTATGTTTCAGAATATATGACATCCAAGAAGATTTTTCTTGTTTTGATCACATGAGACTGACCATTTTTCATAGTATTCCTTCTGCGTTAAGTGTCAAAGCCAGTAGGCATTGCATTTCACTTTACCAATAAGGAAATCAGCTTTTCTGGGAGCCACCACACTTGATGATAGACTGTAGTAGGCAACGAGAGGAGGTGATCCACTTGGGCCCAGAGACAGCCCCGAGCAGGAGGAAGAGTGGGGAGAGGGATCGTAGAGTCAGGTTTGGAGATGAACCCCACATAATCAAGAAGAACCCCACTCTGCATCAAGAGGAGCGTGGCCAGCAGGTCGAGGGAGGTGATTCTCCCCCTCTACTCTGCCCTCGTGAGACCTCACTTGGAGTACTGCGTCCAGTTCTGGAGTCCCCAACATAAGAAGGACATGGACCAGTTGGAGAGGGTCCAGAGGAGGGCCACGAAGATGATAAGAGGGCTGGAGCACCTTTCCTATGAGGACAGGCTGAAAGAGTTGGGGCTGTTCAGCCTGGAGAAGAGGAGGCTCCGGGGTGACCTTATAGCGGTCTTCCAGTACCTCAAGGGGGCCTACAGGAAAGATGGGGAGAGGCTGTTCAGGAGGGCCAGTTATGATAGGACAAGGGGTAATGGTTTTAAAATAGAGGGAGGTAGGTTCAGGTTGGATATTAGGAAAAAATTTTTTACTATGAGAGTGGTAGAACACTGGAACAGGTTGCCCAGAGAGGTGGTGGATGCTCCATCCCTGGAGACGTTCAAGGCCAGGTTGGACAAGGCCCTGAGCAACCTGATCTAGTTGGAGATATCCCTGTTCCTTGCAGGGGGGTTGGACTAGATGACCTTTGAAGGTCCCTTCCAGCCCTAACCATTCTATGATTCTATAATCAGGATATAATGCTCAACACTGAGATAACCAATGGTACCAGTCAACATAAGGATGTAAATAGCTGCAAATTAACACATCTGGATCCCTCTCTTGGAAGTAGCAACTAATAGGGCTGTCCAGGACTCTGGCAGAGGCAAAATGGGCACTGGGGCCCTGTCTGCTGTCCTGGGGTAACAGTATATCTTACTTACGTCAAGCGGCACGCCGTTTTGACTGAGAAATGAGAACACTACAGATTCAAATGGCAGGTATCGAACAAATGTGAAAGATAACAGAAACAGATAACAGAAACCTTCAAATGGAATTGCAGATAATAACCCGTTCCCAAGTAGGTCTGTTTCTAATGAAGTCTTTCAGGGGCTGATTTTTAGCCCTGTGCTATACACCCTTTTTATGCACGCACGTACATATACATGTGTCTGTGTGTTTGTGTACAGAGTAAAACCAGCTATTTCTCTGTATATATGTTTATATACACATATTATGACCACGTTCCAGTATTTAAAGGGTGGCTACAAAGAAGATGGAGACTCTCTTCTTACAAGGAGTCACATGGAAAAGACAAAGGGTGATGGGTATAAGTTACTCCTGGGGAGATTCCGATTAGACCCAAGAGGAAAATTTTCACAATGAGAACAATCAGCCATTGGAATAATCTCCCCAGAGAAGTGGTGGATTCCCCAACATTGGATGCTTCTAAGATTCAGCTGGACAGGGTGCTGAGCCATCTTGTCTAGACCATGTTTTTGCCAAGAAAGGTTGGATCTTGAGGTCCCTTCCAGCCTGATATTCTATGATTCTATGATATATACATACATGTGTGTACAAATAACCTGAAAAAAGCCCCAAAACTTTAAAACATCAGATGACCATAAATAACTGAAAGACAAATGGAATGGTAAAGCAACAAAAGAACAAACCACTGATAGAGCATGACAGAAGAATAAGCACTAGCAAAGAGTAAGCTTTCAAATAAAGTCCTGCATTGAGAAATGGAGAAAATATACCAGAATAGATGTGGACTCTTAATTATAAAAAGCAGTTCCTCTTAAAGATTTGCAGGTCATAATATATAATGAAAGCATAAATAAATTGTCAGTATGATGTGAAGCATAAAGTACTGAGGCAATCCTTGGATGTAGAAACAGGGGAACACTTAGCAGTATCTGGAAAGTTATATTATTTATTTTTCTGGTACCAGTGCAACTTCTATGAAAGCACCAATTCTCATTTCTGTCATAACATTTCATGAAACATACAGAAAAACTAGCAGGGGTTCAAAGGCGGCCATAGGGATGATTAAAGAACCAGGCAACATGACTGCCAGTGAAATTCTAGGAGGTCAATAATTTTTGTTTATCAGAGAGGTTGTTACAGATTATTTAGTCCCCAATTGCACATATCTATGTTAAAAAAACTTGAAAAACAGACTCTGCATGCTGCTGCAACAGAAAACAAAGACTGGCAACCACCAGACTACTTTGAAGCAGATATAGGAGACAAATGTTTAGCTGTAAGAGTAATTAACTGAACCAATACCTAAAAATAATCGCTCTTACTTCATCAAGCATAAATAAATGCCTGCTCTAAAGAGGGATAAGCATCTTGGATGTATCTGTGCAGCTTCTGAAGAACAGTGCCACTGGTGAAAGTTTCATCTCCTCTAGCTAGATTTACTCTGCAAGAGGAAAAAAGGCAGTCTTTGCAATGCTTTCATGTCTCACCCTCTTTTGCTCATTATGTTCTTCTCAGAGCAGGAAGAATAAATCACCTCATTAAGACTCGAGGTTTGATAGGATTCAAAATAAGAGTGCACTTAGAGAAAGCATTGCCAAAAGGTTTTTTAACTGCATTTAATCAAGGGTGACCATCTAATGGATACACTTCTCATTTTCCATAAACATGTATATCGCAGGTTACTCACATTAAAAAAGGAACTTCCTCCTCGTTTGTGTGTTGTTTTTTTTTTTCCTCACAGGAATTGTCTGTCTGTTTTCAAAGGTGGTCCCAGAATTCTGGAATTTTTCTAAAAATTTTTGCCAAGCAATTTCACTTGAGACTTTCAGTCCAAATCTGATTTTAGAAAAGAAAACATTTCAAAAATTTTTTTCTTATAAAAACACTCTATGTTCCAAGAAGAATTTTGAATTAGAACATCACATCATCATTGTCATATCAATGTGTGCAACATTCATGATTAGGGTGAGCTTGCATAGCTTTTCTTTGTTACTAAATATGTAAACTGAGCCAATTTATTTTCTCAATTCCAAATGTCTAGCTGTGGAAGAACTAGACCCCAAGCGAGAATTCATCTAACCAAATGTACATGCCTGCACCTGAGCGAGTCACTCTAAGTTCCCTTTATAGTCATCGGGGAGAAACAGGCACTTTCAGGACGGGATTCATCTCATCCTAAAGTAGACATCTAAAACTGGTTAGATGAATCCTGCCCGTTGTTTCTCTCCAGTGACTATAAAATGGAGTCTAGGAGGAGCAGTTCAGGCATAGACATTTACATTACAGATGTCTAGAATGAGATACTATTTAATGCATTCCTTCTCATTATTTACACATAACAGCAGAGAAACTAACTAAGGGGAATAGTATGTTGTTTTTTTAAAATGTTACGATGTTCATTGTATCCAAATTTGAAAGCTTCAAAAGTACTGGAAGTGTTAAACCATGTCAAAAGTCCCAGGAAGTTAATTAGTCTTATATTCCATGAATAATTCCTTGAAAATCAATAAGGACCTGATTCCATGACCCCCCAAACCATCGGCATATCTTCTATTCAGTTTCAGTGGCACTGCAGAAGGCTCCAATGAGCATGGCTAAACGCACTCCTACTTCAGATGGTGCTTTGCAGGCAATTACATCCCCCACATATTATCAGAAACGTGCTGACTTGCTACTCTAGTCATCTCAGAAAAGCTTTTAAAACTCCTAATGCTCCTTAAAATGGTGGCAGATGGTGTTTAGAGCATTTGCTAATCCAGGATGCACAGGACAAAGCTAAAAAATTACCAAATGCAGTCAGAGGTATGCAAGACTTCCTGGATCTCTTACAAAAAACCTCCAGTTTTTGGGCTGCCCGGCAGTTTCTCAAGCTCAGTCAACAAAGCTAAAAGCAAAAGTTACAGGAATCACATACAAGCTTTCCGGCTTTGGCCAACTGCAGCCTGACAGCACAGTTTATTTAACGAGAGGGGAGGGAACCTGACTTTTTATAATAGTCCACCACACACGCACCACAGCTCAGTGCTTCAAAGGCCGAGCATCTCCCACTGCACAAGCAGCACAATTGCTCCAGAGCCCAGAAGAGGGGCTGGGAAGGGCCAAGCACCAAAGACTCCAGGTAAATGAAGACAGAGGCGGTGCTGGCATTCCGATTTCAGCAGGGGAGCCGTTTCATTCCCTGCAGGGAGGGGCTTTGCCAACAATACTACTGAGGGATGGGTTATTAAAAAAAGCTGTGGGAAGGATAGATATTTCATATCTGATTATTGTCTTGGATAAATGAATATGAAACAAACAGTGTGAAATAACAGATGATCTTTAAAATTCAGGCCAAGATAACAACTGTTATTTTGAGCCCCCAGCTGAGATCCCGTCACACTCAAATGTCTACGGTCTACTAAATCACTCAAATCACACTGCGGAGAGCAATTCCGAGCTGAAAATGAGCAACCAGCCAAACCTGCGTCAATCAGAGCAACAGACCTCTCCACTTCCATCTCCTTTCTCAGAAGCCCCACAAGTGCCTCTCAGACTTCGACAGTGGCAATTGCCAAAATCCGGGGAGCTGAAGGGAACTTAGGAAGAAATACTAATGCAGATGTGTGAAGGTTTGGTGTTAATAGCTATGATTTCTTGTGCCATTGATCAGCCCACAAAGTGCCATGGCTTTCCCCCATTCTGCTGATGGGTAATGGATCATGGAGCTCTTCCAGTTCTGCCTGTGGCTGGCCAACGCAGCACTTTTCTCTTGCAGGTTTTGACATGGAAAGGGATGAATAAGGACCTCGCAGGGCCGGGGAGGAGGAACTGCCCAGCGTTAAGTTTTGTGGATCAGATTGAAGAAAGCCCTGTTTAGACAAAGCTAAATCAGTGGCAATAAAAACTGAGGAAGGATTTTGGAGTATTTTTTAAATTTCGAAACAACCCCTCTTTATAATACTGGCCCTAAGATTTCAAGCTGTGCTAGAAGTGCAATAAGTACAATATTTAGATGCCATAGGAAGAATAACTGAGGCACAGAAAGATTGATCCACTGTAGGATCAGAAAAAATGTGCATCTTTTGTGAGCAGTAATCCAGCATTTTATCTACTACAGTAGGCCAGCTAGCTTATTAAAGTAATAAAAATAAATTCTGCATGGCTTTTTGGAAGTACTCTTACAGTTATGTCCAAGTACAAAAGAGTATACTTCCAAAAGACTTGACATTGATTAGAGCTGTAACAACATGGACACCTGGTAAAACGATGTGATATATCATCTCGTAGTGATCCTTTACAAAATATTGAGAAATTTTTAACCATCGGTGCCTTAGCATCTAATACTTTTATATAAATCATAAATTAAAGAAATGAAGCACGACAGTAACATGCTGCTGAAAACTGTCCTTGTGTTTTTAACGGATATTGTGCTTACCCAAGTGCTGACCAACTGAGCATAATGATTTACCTCATATGACAAAAAAAAAGTCACCAATTAGAAATCCTGTCAGCCGCCAGAAAAGAGTCTTAGAAGTTAGGCTGTTCGTTGGCAAAGCCTTCATACTGGTCATGTATGATATGCTCCCAGCTGTCAACAAGAACACCCTTCGCTCACACTCCTCACCCTATGAAGGGACATGATCCACAGCAAAGCTCCAAAACATAACCAAAATATTTTTCAAGTGGGAATGCTGAAATACTGTGAAATTAATTCCTCCACTTTATGCAACTCTTTATATAACCACAAGTCCATGATGTTTCACTTCTATGTGAATGAATTTTCAAAAGTAGAGTGATGGAATTCAGGGAATTTGGGACTCCGCGCTGTCCTTTGAATGAAGCACACCTCAATGGTCTGCTTCTGATGTATTTGATATTGCTGCAGCGAGGACATATACTGAGAGATAAGTGCATGGGTAATCTGATCCTAAACCAGTCAAGGATGAAATCCTAGCTGAAGTCTAAGGCAAAATTGCATCATCTTCAACAGGCCCTGAATTTTGTATCAGGAGCCTATGAGATGTAAACACTTCAAACAACCATAAATTGCTGTCATGTATTATTTCTTATAAACAGCTCCCCGGCACATCTCACATCATATTATTTAAATAGAATCTTAAAAACCTTGAAATCATGTCCCTTGGCCATCAATTATTATTACATTTATTATCAGCAACAAGGAAGTTACTTCATTATTAGAATTAGATTACTATGAGGAACTTTTGCTGTTATTCCATTCACCTGATGGAGCTTTTGAATTACATTATCTGAGAAACATCACCTAAGAGATATGGTATACCTAGGCTTGAACGTTTCTGTTTACAGCATCATTAGAATGTCACTGCATTTTTCAAATGCTAGAGAAAGCTCCAGCAGAAGAGTACATGCAGATATCTTTCCATTATGCAACTGCTCTTAAGAGCAAGATTTACTTTAAGATTTAAACTAGCAAGTGAGATGAATTGAAAAAAAACCACTATAATAGCAATTTTTTGACAAAGTAATAGTTGATCATTGTTATGTCATACTGTGAATGACTAGAAGCGAGTCAGATTTATCTGCTGAATGCACAAAGCAATATGGTTACTGCAGATGACACTCTCATACAGCACCTGCTGCTGTAAAACGTGTATCTGCACTGAGCTCTTTACAGCTAACTAGTGCATATAAAGGAAAAAATAACCCAACTGATTATTTACATGGATTATTCTATTCTTCCAACAGTTTAAATAGATAAACTACGAATTGTGGAATCATTAAGCAGTAACACGTGATCTGGTTACTGATGTCCTCACACTGTCTGATTTGGGTGCCTTGTCACGATGTTGTAAGCTTAAGCAATATTTTGGAGTAAAAATGCTGTGTAAGAGTTAAGTTGTTCTTCCTTTCTCTTTGACTGGCCATATGCCCTCGGCGCTGTTGCCAACAAGAATAAAGTATATTCTGGCAGTTTTCTTTTCATGGTTTTTGGTTTCGGAGTACAAAAGATTGATCATGAGAGATCCTGGTCTAGATTTAACCAAAAGCCACAAAAACATCCATTCCTATGATATTTTGGCTTTAAAAAGGAAATAGGAGTTTAGGAAGCTAGCCAGCATATGCTGAAGTCATCATGTCCAGGAAACCATATTTTGGAAAATGTCATGTGGCCTAACCTCTGTCTGCTGAGGTCCTTGAGGCTGGGCAGGAAAATGTTTTCTGTCCTTTTCTCTTCTGTACACTATGCTGCCCACAGATGATCTGAGTTTTGGTCATAATACTACAAAGACACCTGGTTAAAGTAAAATAGTACATTGACTTGAATCCGGTAGCTGGCACGATATCTCAACCTTCGCAGCTGTTTTAATAAAAATATTTACAATGTCAAAACCTAAGTTCAAAAAGATTTTTGCCTCATTTTAGTTTAAATTCAAATTTCTAGGATTGAAATGGCTTTATTGTGCGGCACAGAGGTGTCCCTTCAGTCACCTTTTTCAGTGACTGACAATGAGCACTGCAGAGTGAAAGTCTTCAGCATTAGTTCATTCATTCATTTTAGTTTCACTTCTTCCTTCCTTTTCCTTGCCACACCAGCGTGTTTAAAAAGGAGAGGCTTGTAGAGTCACACTGTCACCATGCAAATATGGTGCTAACATTTATGAAGCTGCTCTTGCAGCAGATTCACAGCATCCCACATCACTAGTCATTTGAATACAAGAGAGTAATGCTCCCTTTAGGAAATTAAATACAAATTTGTAAGCAAATAGAAGTAAGTAAGCAGTAACTTAAAGCCTCTACTCCATTAAACCTATATACCTTACTGCAAAAAACTTGGTTTTATACCCAGCTATATCAGTATTTACACAGTGTGCCATACATACTGCAACACAGGCACAAGTAAGATGAATTAATGATGGTAGTCACATAAAGCAATAATAAAGTTATAAGGCAGCAGCACTAAAAAAATGTCCCCTAAGAAAATAATAAGATTCTTACCTATTCATTAGCTCTTGAAAAGTTTATTTGGCTAAGGAAATATAAAGCCATTTATGACTGACTTCAAGTAATCCAAAGACACAAATCCACTCCAACTGACATCAATTGCTCTGAAGTCTTTTTTCAATGTCCTGATAGGCTGAACGCAGCTGTAAAGAATACAATTTATAGTGTTTTGTTCAGAAAAATTAAATTCATGAAGCTTTAAAAACAATAATGCATTTTTTACGAGACCTTTTCAAATGTTCTTCTCTATGAACTGATCAAATAGGTTACCCTGGCATGCTCTGACCGTCAGATGTTTAATTAATAAGCTCACTACAAAACAGTATTCCCAATCACACACTCTCAAATGACAAGTCAGACAAGCTTCTCCAATAATAACTCTGCCTTAAAATTCAGAGCTAAAAATATTTGGTGGATCAGCCTGCTTGATAACATCTGCCTTAACGTAACTTTCAAACCATCCTTGCATAACCTTCCCTTTATTAAAATGGGTTTTTAGCACAACGAATACTGGAAAATGTTAGAAGACATGGAATAGTTCACATGGCTATTGTGCAAACATATCACAAGTTTCTTTGGTTATTTTTTTTAATTCATGGGCTGTTGCAAAGGAGCTATGCGGATGTGTTTTTGCTTATGGGACTTGTAAAATGCCTGAAAGTTGACTTACTGCAGATTTTGATAAGGCTCATGAAACAATAGGAAGACTGGTTTGTTTTTCTGAAATGTTAGCTCACACTGGGTTGTTGAATACAGCAAGCATCCCTGAGGCTTTTCTCCCCTCACCATTTTTTGACAAGCACCCCATCTGCTTCTAAGCTGATTATTGTTCATTCAAAACTGCCGAAACCACAGTGTAAAGATAATGTATAGAGAGACTTCAGAAAGCCCAAAATAAACATCAAGGACTGGGAAAGCTTGTAAGGTGAGATGTACTGTGCTTCCAATCCAAGCCTTGACCTCCGTATCAAAGAGACACAAGATGAAAAAGGGTCAAGATGCTGAATGTCCCTGTAGCCTTGTTTGGCCCTCCTCTCCTGTCTTTTCAAGGCTGAGAAAGCACAGTTACAGGTCTGTGTAATTGAGTTTGTAGTAGAATATGCAGTCTTTATGCACAGTATCAGCTTCTCTTTTCTTAGAGAGTCAGGATTTTCACAACATGAAGGCACAAGAGTGAGAGTTGGAAAATTTTGTTTCCTTTCACCTTCCTGTAAAGGAGGTGGAATTACCACTACCAAGGAGTTACATGCCACCATCACACTCCTCAAACCTCTTCAGTTAAGATCACATCTAAGGGCACATGGAGAGGTCATTTGCCATGTCTTTTTCAGCTCCACTCTCTATTCTAAGCTTGCCACCACTTACAAAAAAAAAAAAAGCGCATTTCTGCAGTAGCACCTATACACTAATAATTTATTTCATGCAGGTCAGAAAATAATTTTCAGACAATGATAATAGTTGTTACTCAGAGTAAGTCATTACTTACTTTGATCTGACAGAGTGATCTAGGGATTCACATTATTGAACACCTTAGCCATCAAGCTTTGATGCACTCTCATTTTGTTTTAGCCTAAGGAATCTGAAGTTCCAATACACATGTTTTTAATGCTGTGAATCTAATAAGCAAGGCTGGAACACACAAAATAAAACAGAACTGCTGCTTCTGCTGACTGGCTTAAAAGCAAACAAGAAACCCTGTGTATTGAATTTGTTCATAAAAGAAGCTGGTATAATTAACTGGCCTCTATGCTGGACAATTTTCTTTTCCTGTGATGCCTGGCTCAGCTTCTCCACCTGCCAAAGTATTCCGAAGTATTAATGGCACTCCCTTACCTTTTCTCTAAATGCCCTCCCAGTGCTATCCAGACTGCGCTCTGCCACAGCATGCTCCAGCTGGTGAAGACTGTAGAAAAAGTTTTGCTGATGAAGACTGTAGAAAAAGTTTTTTCAGCTTCTGTTTCTTCTCTTTTATTTTCTGGCAGATTAGTGCTGTTAAGAAAACTGATTTAGCAAAGTCTGCAGCTTTGTCAGCTTCAAAGAAATAAAGCCATCTAAAACTCTTAAAGCCTGTTTTTGTTAACTGGATAAATCTTTATGTACAAACAGACTAAACCAAACCTGAAATACAATTTTCTTGTATTTCAAACTTGATCGGTAGTTCAAAATTATGCTAACTAATCTGTGCATTTGTTCTAGTAGTTTTTAATTTAATATTTCTTTTAAAACATAATACACCTAACTTAAAATCTTAACAGGTAACTTTATTATGTGTAATATCAGAAGGTACTACTAGAAACTAACTCCTTCTCTTTGTCAGTATGTTTCCAAAATGATCCACTACCAAACACACATTTTCAGGAAATGGAAGACAGTGTTCTTATAGGCCTTTGATAATAAACATAGCTATTGGCCTCGAAAAGGCTCTTTTCTTTTCCCTTTCCTTCATGTACTCCTGTCTCACTGTCCCATCTTAGACCCCACAGTCCGTGGAAAAGCTTCCAGTTACTGTAAGTCAAACAGCCCTTCTCAATGATTCCCCATCTCTAACAAAAAAAAAAAAAAAAAAAGAAGACAACACCAAAACCAAACCAATTCTGTGAGATATTTATTTCAGCTGGCATGAGCAGCTCATTTTATGATGGTGGTTTGTCGTGTACTGCTCTACTTCATGTGCTGTTGGCATATATTGGGAGAACAATTCTCCTATGGATATATTTGATTCAGACCATAGCAGCAGCCATTGTGACAGACAAGACACAGTTATTTTGAGAACCTTATGCACAAAGAGTATGTGCACCAAAGTCTTTCAAAAAATGCTGTTCTGCATGGAAAATTATATCAAAGTGTGACTACTCTGTGCTCAGGGCATGCTCTTCACTGTGCCCTCTGTCTGCTCAGCGACCCGCTG